GAAACGCCGGCGCGAAAACAAAAAACGCGAGCCCAGTGTGCTCGCCAGAGTCGACGCAACTCCCGGCGCGTCAGGCGACGCCGTCCAGCAGCGCACCCCCTACCTTAGACACGCTGCGTCGAGCCCGCGTAGGCCTTCACTCGCGTGCTCGGCGCATCTCGATGAACGTCCAGAACGCGATCCCTGATGCGGCCGTCAGGTCCAGTCGACGGCACGCTGACCTTCGACAGACAGACGAAGGTCGCGATCATTGCCTCGACGATCGTCCACCGTCGTACGACGACGCCGAGTTTGTCGAGAGGAAACAGCCGGCCCACTCGGCGAGCCGCTCCGGCCAGCCATCGCTCCGCTGCGCCGCCGGCGCGCTCCCACGCCGCTCGCGGGTGCTTCCTGCTCTGGATGCGGCGTCTGGGAGTCCGGCGTCTTTCTCGGTGAAGAGAGAGAGAGAAGCGGTTTTAACGTCGCCAATCGAGCTGTTGTTCTGCGGACGTAGATAAATAGGAGTTGGCATTTTAACTTCAACAATCAAGCGTCGTTCTGGCCAGCGTAAAAAAAAATATGCAAGTTTTGCATGTTAACGTCAACAGAATGGCGTCGTTCTAGCATGCAGTGAGACGGCAGTTTGCATTTTAAATTTGTAACATCAACAATCGCGCATTGTTCCAGGCTGCAAAAAGGCTACAGGCATTATTCGCTACACGCGCGTCGAACACTACTTTTGCGGACGCTGCAAGCCGCGAATCGTCAGTCATCATCTCACCTGTCGTTCCGGAACAGCTCGACGTAGCGGCCGCCCAGGTAGAGCTTGTTCTTCAGCATCGCCGCGTCCGCGTCCTCACCGCTGCCGAAGCTCGCAAACGCCACGCCCATCGACGCCCGCCCCGCGCTCCTCGGTATGCGCACGCCCGTCGGCACTAGCGGCGCAAAGAACTCTCGCACGGCCTTCTCCTTGACCTTGAACGGGAGACCGCGCATCTTCACGCGGTACCTGTCGCGTGGAGGCGCTGCGACCTAGGGCAGGAAGCGGGGTCACGCTCTGTGTTATTCATTGTCGAGCAGTGGTTCTTAACCTTTTTTGAGTCATGGACCCTTTTGAGAATCTGGTGAAAGCTACGGGCCCATCCCCAGACAAATGCACATGTGATTACGGACTAAGGTGCAACTACGGTCCCCCTGAAGCCCATCCACTGACCCAAAAGGAGTCCGTGGACCACAGGTTAAAGGGATTATTGCGAGAATTTGCCAGTGTTTTCACCACTTTCATGATACCTACCGTTATTGCTTGAGTACCAGCAATTGTCTAGAGTAACAATAAAATGTCTTAGAACCTTCATATTCACCAAAAACTGCCAGTTTCGAACTAGTTTCGTAAACATTCGTTTTCTGTTATTTTGAACTAGGCGGAAGTGTGGATTAGCTTGTGGTGCCCCCGCTTATCTGCCATAGACAAAGCATGGCTCTCTCAAATCATGCACTTGTTTTCAATTAATCACCGACACAAATACAAGTTTACCAATTCTGCCATTAGGCATTGTCGCGACACTATAAAATGCATTGCTGTTACAGTGTGTTCATATCCAATTTTCTATGCTATAACTGCATAAAATCTTAGTATTTTTAATGTTGGTGTAATCAGTGATATTTTCGCTGTCAGGTGAGACTATATTCAGCTATATTTTGTTTTTCTGAGCAAAAATCTCGCAATAGTCATTTTAAGATCCCCTGGCATAGAGGTTATTGCATGTGGTCAGACGTCGTGCTCGCAGAATTCACACACTGCCTCAGGTGTAAACATTTGCATTCATTAGGGACAGAGGAACTGAAAGAAGCTAGTACAATATTCGTTTATCCAAGAGTGACTCTACCGTATCCTTGATGACAACGTTGGCAGTCAATCACCTGTTTCTGTGCGTCTTCTTTCGCGGTAGATTTTCCCAAAACTTTTGTTGATTTTCCTTCTACTTTCTTACTGCCAGCTTTCGAGAGAGTTGTAGATTCGCTTGTACTTTCGCTACTACTGTCATCACTACTGTTGCCACTGTCGGCTGTACTGTCACTGGCGTTGTCTTCAGCAGTTGACTTATCGATGGTTTTTGCCTTGAGATACTGTTGACATATGCACATTGAAAAAGTAGAAATTAGAAACAGGTGAGAATGGAGAATAGCTGCGTCAGTTTAGAACGAATAATTTATTCGTTGCCCATATGTTCTCCTGAACTTACCTCCAAGTCAGACATGGCTGTGTTGGACTTCTTTGATGACTGCTTTTTCTCCTCTACAACAGGTGGTTCTATAAATCATAAAAGCTAATGTCACTTGCCTGCCTATCATCCTACCTCAGATTGAAGCTTCTCTCCTTCTTTAGTATACACGATAACCAGCATAGATGACAAAAAACATTTTACTCGTGCAATAGGGAGCACCAACCTTTATTGTTATGCAATTCACGTGCGGTAATCGAGGGACCTAGTTATTAGTAAAATATCATGGAAGACGCTACTTCAATGAATTGTTCAAAGACACCTGCTAACTTGTACTAGATGTGGCACCTGTTATAAGAACATGCAGTGCCAGGAGAGTATCGATTTTATTCACGCAATACTTGATGACATCACTGCTCAGTGCTTACCCATCTCAACTTCTTCATCGTCTGATGATGTTGCACCATCGTACTGAAGCTGCTTTGTTGGATGTCTAGCCACTTCTGCAACACGATTTTCTGTAGATCCTGTAACAAAACAAACACATTTTGCTCACCTATGAACATACTTTAATCAGGGCTTAGCTCTCATGCAGTACTTTCACCTTATACATCTCTCCTACATGTTGAGACTGTCGTCCAATTACTGTTAATCGATTTATCTTCATTAAAATCAGTCTACATGTAGGACACTTTACAAACAATTCTATGCTTGGTTTATACAGATGCACTCTCAATGTTACCTGCATCATTGCTCCATACTGTCTTGCTCCCTGGCTTCCGCTGCGATTGAAGAAACTCGCTAAACGCTGGATCGTCTGCAACCGCATCCGGAATGGTTTCTTTCACAATCTTCTTCTTCTTCTTTTTCTTACTTGATGTGGCATCCTTACTGCTTCCTTCTTTCTTTGTTACCATGTAACATAGACAGATATTTAGGCATTTTGACATGCCCATAAAATCACAGTCCTCTCCAGTCTCTCTTTATTTAATTCTGAGTTGGTCTACAAATGCCTGAATGATTGATGAATGAATGAAAGATCGAAAGAATTAAAGGCATACTAGGCCCATTGATTATGCAATGTTGACGAATGCTAGAGTAACTGGCACCTTGTGTAGTTAATAAGTACATAACCTTACAACCAAATGCGTATTAGTTTGTCCAATATCATTGCTGGTTACTAAGAAATGTCTAATTGAAATCCGCAGTCCAAGAAACCAGTTGTTTACAGTTTCAAACCGCTGCCGGCGAAGCAGGTGTGATACATATTTATAGTGCACCGGACATTTTCGCACGCATGCTCGGCTGTACGCAATGCTATCATCAGTGATTTCGTAAACACGGACGCTCGTGATAAGGAACTTTTTGTCAGGCCTGTCCATGTGCGTCCGTGATTAGTACGTGTGTTTTACTCCTTTTCCATGTTTAGTCCGTGGCCGTGGTTACACCGCTGACACCTCCATTTCATCTGGCATCCAAAACATACGGTCTGCACAAATGTTTACATCATCGCTTGACTCCTGGATGATATTTACGGCACGTAAATGAATATCAACAACCGATTTCAAGTCTTGCGTGTAATTTAACCAGCAGTGATATTCGACAAACTAATACGCGTTTGGCTATAAGGTTATGTACTTATTAACTACACAAGGTGCCAGTTACTCTAGCATTCATCAACATTGCATAATCAATGGGCCTAGTATGCCTTTAATGAATGAAAGAAAGAATGAATAACCCAGTGAGTAAGAGATTAAGTGAGTGAGTGAAGGAATGAATGAATTACTAACTAAATCAGGAAATGTATGCATGCATAAATTAATAAACGAATAAACAAATGAATAAATGACTGAACCAGAGCCTGTATGAGATTAATTAGAAAACATTCCTAGCTGGCCTACAAAAAAAAACATTGCACCTTACCTTTTCCATAGTCTTTTCTTTCTTTGCATGTTCCTCTTTCTGCTTTTGAAGACTCGTCTGGTACGCAGAACTATCCACACTGTACTTGCTCCATGCCTTCGGCTTTGAATCGTCGCCAATAGCTTTTGCAAAATCGACCTGTGAGAAAAAAGTGAAATTGAATAGCAGGAACGTTAGTTTTGAATTGAAAGTTAATCAAGCATTGCCTCGCATCTTCCTATTTAATGTGCACCAGAACTGATGAAGCTAGTATAGCCGGTTCAACTAAATAAAAAATGAAAATCCTCACGTACTTGTATTCGCTTTGATCCAATGAAGGTTTCGTGAAAGTAAGTCTGCGATTTTTCTGCCAGGTCTGAAGATTCATATCCAACGAATCCAAAATTTCTAAAGCGTCCATCCTTCGTGTACTTTAGACAGCAATCAGTCAGATGGCCAAACCTTGAAAATGTCTCACGAAACTGTTCCTCACCGATCTGTAAAAGCATTTATGTGAATGAAATATGATGACGCCTAATTATACTCTTATTATGGAAAAACAAAATATATGTGTGGTTACCGTTACATGCCGAAAAAAAATAGGGTAGGTAGGTAGGGAAAACATTTTATTTTCTTGAAATATTTTATTTACGAACCATGTCCGAAGGATGTGCGTTGTGCCTTCTGAAGCAGCAATTCATTTTTTATATTTTTTTATTTTTTATATTTTTTTTACATTTTTTTGACTTTAAAGAAAATTGACAATAAAATGTATAGGGTCGCTGGGAATAAACAGGGTCGTTCGGGAAACCGTAACCACACCTATATTTTGTTTTGGCCTTATGTAAAAACAGAGGGCAGAATGTAATTCAATAATAATTTTAATAACTTTATGCTCTGTATAGCAGCTTCTGATAGATTTGAAATCTACCATGCATGCACCACAGAGCGCATGGCATATTACACTATGTTCAATAATTTTGTTGGGGTGAAACTATAGTTCATTTACTGATCTTTCTTGGAACGTTCTCATAAGTCTATCATATACACTGCTGCTCTCAGGCACCGTTTGGGCCAGAATTCTGCCTCCGATGATCCGCCACTAAGCTTGCGTGCGAAGTTTAAACCTTAGACGTGGATATTCCTTTGAGCATCAGAAACGCGTTCAGTTGACATTCTTTCCGACCATCGGAAACTGGTTGTTCAGAGATTTATTCAAGCATCTTAAAGTATCGGAAGCTTTGTTTGCACTATATAGGTGTCGATATTCAGTGTTCGAAATAAGGAAAAACCTTTAATTGTAATTAATTGCCTCAGCCCTCAAACAAACGCCAAAAAGGGGCTTCAACGAACGACGGCTGTCGTAACTCCAGCCACTTATATTAATTTTTACTTACAACTTACAATAAGATTTAATAATAATAAATAGGTAATGCTTTGCCAGCACCCACAATTGGGTTGTTACTATAACTAAAGCCGTGCGCACAAGTGGCGATTTTAATCGCCACGTGAGCGCCCGACTTAATCAATAACTTATTCAGTCATTTGGATTAAAATAGTATTACAATTACAAATTATTGATATTATCAGGAGTAGATAATAGGGAAGGAGTGTGATTTCAATAAACAAGGGAAATTCGTCATTTACTAGCCTTAGAATACCTACGATTTACTACGCGTAACTCAACCAACTTGAGCTCAAATCGTACACAGTATACATTCGCCTAGCATCGTGCGAAATCGTTTCCTCATATACACCCGCAATCTGGAGATACAGACTAAAACATACGACACAATTTTCCATTATGTTGCCAGCAAACTGAATGTGTAAACCGCCTAACTCAAAACAAAAGGCAGCTGTAAATAGGTCAACGATTAGCTCAGCGAGCCACACCGCATCGCCGAGGACGCAAGAGTCGTTAGTAGCTGCCTATTGTTTCGAGTTAGGTGGTTTACACATTCAGTTTGCTGGCAACATAATGGAAAATCGTGTCGTACGTTTTAGTCTGTATCTCCGGATTGCGGGTGTATACAAGGAAACGATTTCGCACGACGCTAGGCGAATGTACTGTGTACGATTTGAGATCAAGTTGGTTGAGTTACGCGTAGTAAATCTTAGGTATTCTAATGCTAGCCGCACACTATCCGACCCGAGCGCGATCGGGAGGCTTACGTCTGGCTCGGGAGGCTTAAGTTTGGCTCGGGAGGTCATTTTGGCCCGATTCGAATTTTGAATCAGAAGCGTATAGTGTGCGAGGGCTTACGACGCGACTCGGATAGTGTGCGTGGCCATCCGACCCGCTCGGCGAGCGCTGAAGAAAATTGACCAATCACAGAGCAGCGCCAAGGGAACCGCATTCGGTAAAAATGGCGGGGAAACACTTCCGACCCTTAGTACACGCTAAATCCGCTTGGAACGCCACGAGAGTGCCATGGTTTGCGCCAACTTTGAGTCGGACAGTGTGCGGGGGCCTCCCGATCGATCGGGAGCGGGTGGTATAGTGTGCGGGGGCTTAGTGCTGTGCACAGTGCAAAATCGGATAGTGCGCGGCTAGCATTAGGCTAGTAAATGACGAATTTCCCTTGTTTATTGAAGTCACACTCCTTCCGGGCCTATTACCTACTTCTGAAGTTCTGATATTATGACTTTATGTATATAAATTTGACCATAAATAATACAAACACGTGTTTGTATATGTCTATGCCTAAGGCTATGCCTATGGCTATGTTATTATTATGTTATTGTTATTTATGGATTATGTTAGGATGATGTTTATTACTGGACATGCTATCTATCCTTGAGCCCTATGGTTTGACCCTTCAAGTTGCTCACGAACTCACTACTGACACTAGTCTGTAGTCACTACTGACGCTCATAGGGTCTATGTCACCCAGGGTACTGCCAGAACGTACCCTGGGTACGGTCCGGTATACCGGAACGTACCCTGGTAACTATCTGATATGGTTAGGGTTAGGGTTAGGGTTAGGGTTAGTGTTAGGGTTAGGGAGTAGGCGTCTCCCTAGACTCGTTAGTGGAGTAGGCGAGGTACGGTCCGGCATATTAGATAGTACCCGCAGAGCATATAAATCACGCTGATTTATATGCTCTGGTACCAGGGTACGTTCTGGTATACCGGACCGTACCCAGGGTACATTCCGGCAGTACCCTGGGGGACATAGACCCTCTCAGCACTACTGACACTAGTAGTAGTACTAGTAGCAGTAGATACAATAATGTAACCCAAACCCAGGAGGATAGGGTTACAAAGCGTCCCTATCCTTTTGTGTGGAGGAAATTCAGTGAACCCCCAAAAATTCGAAGTGACAAGCGGCGGATATTTCGAGCGCCATTTTTGTTGACCTGTGACGTACTTCGGTTTGAAGAGCGGATTCACCGACCAATCGGAGGGCGCTGCATTTGCCGATCGCTATGCGCATTGGGAATGCGTACGTCACATGTCAACAGAAATGGCGCTCTAAATATCCGCCGTTTGTCACTTCAAATTTTTGTAACAGGTTATATTAGTTTAATACAGAGTATTGTGATACATAGTAAGTTCCAAGATAGCGGAGAAAGGTTTGTGTTGAGAATAAACCCAGTTTGGAAGTTCTAGTCTTTGAAAACGCACCAGCAAACCGCCCTGAGTGATTTACTCAGGGGGTTCCCTGAATTTCCTCCACACAAAAGGATAGGGACGCTTTGTAACCCTATCCTCCTGGGTTTGGGTTACATTATTGTATCTTTACTAGTAGTAGTAGTAGTACTACTACTACTACTACTAGTAGTAGTACTAGTACTAGTACTAGTATAGATACAATAATGTAACCCAAACCCAAGAGGATAGGGTTACAAAGTCTCCCTATCTTTTTCTGCGGAGGAATGCCCGAGTGAATCACTCGGGCCGGTTTGCTGGTGCAGTTTCAGATACTAGAACTTCCAAACTGGGTTTATTCTCAACACGAACCTTTCTCCGCTATTCGGGAACTTACTATGTATTGCAATACTCTGTATTAAACTAATATAACCTGTTACAAAAATTCGAAGTGACGAGCGGCGAATATACTGAGCGCCATTTTTGTTGACCTGTGACGTACTTCGGTTTGAAGAGTGGATTCACCGACCAATCGGAGGGCGCTGCGTTTGCTGATCGCTATGCGCATTGGGAGATGCGTACGTCACAGGTCAACAGAAATGGCGCTCAGTATATTCGCCGCTCGTCACTTCGAATTTTTGTAACAGGTTATATTAGTTTAATACAGAGTATTGCGATACATTGTAAGTTCCCGAATAGCGGAGAAAGGTTCGTGTTGAGAATAAACCCAGTTTGGAAGTTCTAGTCTCTGAAAACGCACCAGCAAACCGGCCCGAGTGATTCACTCGGGCATTCCTCCGCAGAAAAGGATAGGGAGACTTTGTAACCCTATCCTCTTGGGTTTGGGTTACATTATTGTATCTAGTACTAGTAGTAGTAGTAGTACTAGTAGTACTAGTAGTACTACGTCTAATTACCTCATCCGGCAAGTTCTTGATAATTAGCCTGGACATGACGAAAAGCGATTGCGCAAACCCTTACGGGAATCTTTCAACCGCAAATTTGGCCAATACAATTTCTAGGCAATCAATTTAGGCATCAACATGACACACGCGCTTTCTCGAAGTCACCGAACACTCGACTTGCTAACTGCATGTTTTACGTCACGTGGTAGCGGCGAATAGATGGGTTCCTTTTCTCTTTGTAAGTTTAAAGAAAACGAAGAAATCAGCTTGAGAAACCGTCTAGAGACTCGTTTCCAAGATGGCAGCGTCCACAACTTTATTCTGTTAATTTATACTAACATTTTTTTCAATATTATTGCCATTATGCCATCTATTTAATTAGCAAATTGCAAATTCGAGGCTTTTTCTACTGCCAACCGCTCTGTCTATTTGATCAACTTTGTCACTTTCATCTTCCTGCAGAACTTCTGTGAAGTAAAACTTCGCTTTTTGGTTTATGTTAGTGGCGCCCTCACATCAACCAACAGAGCAGTCAAATTTGTGATTGCTGATTGGTGCAAGCACACCAACGTCATTTCGGTGGCAAAATTCAACCGTCCATCTTAGGAAGAAAACAAAACACCTAGGTATAGGCCCTAGTGTACACGTCTACAGCAAGTGTAAGCAAAGCAGGTAATTTGAATGTTGGTAAATTTGACCTTAGTCTTAGACAATTTCCAACGCGAACACAAGATTAAAGGTGTGAAATTTTGGTAGGTGTACAGCTACTACTACTAGTAGTAGTAGTAGTACTATTACTAACACTAACTGCTCGTACTCGTAGCCTCTGTTACAGAGAAATACAGAGTCTGTATAGGGGGGCCTACTGTAGTGTAGGGTACTAGAGTAGGGAAGGTCAATTAAGTTGATTCAAAACCTCGAGTTCCCTCCGATTGGAAAAAAGGCTCATTTATTTATTACCACAGTTTTTAGTGTGGTTTTTATTACCAGTTAAGGTCGTGGATCTTTCCTTGCTTCAAATTATCGCCCAATATCTTTGACTTTTCTTTCAGTCTTTTGCTCTAGTCTAAGTCTAAGTCTAAGTCTAAGTCTAAGTCTAAGTCTAAGTCTAAGGTAAGGAGTAAGGACTAAGGTACGTAGCTCCAAGAAGGGTTAGAATACCCGTATAGACAATCCGTCGCACAGCCTGGTCGGGCTAAGTCTAAGGAATTTGAGCATATACTATAGTAATGCTGGGTAGTCTTATTTCTCTGTTTAATATGAGCCATTTCATGCATGCATGGTCAACAACAAATATCAACATATGATATGTCACATCACGTTATCTGGGACAGAATTATTCGGTCTAGTCGCATCAGTGATCACTGTCGCGTCATGCATCAACATGCTATGGTTTTCGACATGGTTTTTCTACAGTTACCCATTCAATCAATGGCAAATGTCTTCATGATTGGACATTAAGATTTAAGTCTTGCCAAGTCTCAAGAGGTTGGCCCGGCTGGTTCCTCATGATCAAACTTGCATGGTTACTTAGGTTTGGATATTAATTACCACAGCAAGGCACTTGGAATGTATCAATAGTAAAATGATGGTAAATAAATACGAAATGTATAATATTAGTGTTATTTTGTTGCTGGCCTCCGTGACTACGACGACTATACCGACTTATATATAGTTCCCTGACCGATCACTAACTGCCTGACTGCAGTGACAATAAATCTACCTTGCATTGGTATCAGGTTTCCTATCTGCAGTAAATGCGTTAACTGCGGAAAAACCCCTAATGTCAGTTCAGTGCTAATGTTGCTATGTAATTGTATGTGTCTATTCTGTGGTGTAGGCAGGCTCTCTCCGTTTGAGTTGCCATGGAACTCAAGCCTGTGAATGTGGTGGTACGCATCAGGCCAGCGTTCAACACAAAACCACTGGCTTTGCAGTGGACGGGCGAATCATCTCTGGAGATGTTAAGCCACCGAAATACTGAGGAAAGTATCAAATACAGGTACGACTGTTTCCATACCTAATTATGTGTACTAACCACTTGATATTTACAGAATTAAAAAGGTATCTTCGATGATCTTGACAATTGAATCTTGAAGCCGTATTTTATTTGGGAGAATTCCACTATACAACTTCTGCAATTTTGTGTGTGTGTGGCAGGGTGGGGGTGGGGGGTTATATAAAATCAGTGGTTGTTATACAATGTTAGAGATCCACAATGAGTTAATCAGGTGTTAATTTTTTACCATCAGTTTCTCAAGGGTATTTCACCCAGAAAGCACACAGGCCAGCGTATATGAGACAGCAATTAAGCCCCTGGTGGCAAACATCACCAACGGACAGAATGCGAGTGTTTTGGCATATGGACAGACCGGTGCAGGTAAACATGCAATAGTTTGATATAGTCACAACTAGGTATTTAGCCAGTCGGGTATAGGCAAGAAGGCCAACTGGTAGTGGTATAGACAATCATTTTTTATTACGAATTGAAAATAATGGTAGACAATCACTTTTTATTACGAACTGAAAATAATTGCATTTCAGGAAAGACATATACCATGATGGGTAGTCCAGACAATGTTGGTATTGTGCCAAGATCCTTGCAGACCATATTTCAGCTGATAGAAAAGCAACCCAGTGCAAAATTCACAGTGAAGGTTTCCTACTTGGAGATTTACCAAGAGAAGGTGCGTCAAATGAGAGCTGTTGATTAAAACAACGGTTGAATTGCAATGGCACTTATAACAAGTCAACACATTTTAGTATATTTGACTTTTAAAGTTTTGAAATGCATCTGCACTGCGTATAAGAACTTGCCATGCGTGAATGGTGCCATTTGAACCTCTGTAGTGTATATTGCCACTGGTTCTTACATTAGATATTTTCCAATTGACACGCATGTATGCACGATCACATACACACATATATGCTGCGTAGTCTGTACGCTTCCACTTAGTTATTTCTTGTTCACTTCACATCCTGTGTAGGTCCACCAGCTATCTTGCTTATCAATGTTTACAGACACTCATGAATAGTGTTTAATACTACTAGCAAGCTTGTTTCCTCACACAGGTTCATGATCTGCTTGCACAAGCAGACAAGACTCGACCTCAGCAAGACCTGCCTATCCGCCAAACACCGAGCAAGGACATTCTCATTCCGACTCTCGCAGAGAAGGTCATTTCATCGCCTGAAGAGTTTCGCGGGCAGTTTGCAGAGGCAATGTCTATGCGGTGAGTGAAGTTTGTCTTGCTGAGACTCAACAGTTAGCAGCACCCCAAGAAACGTTGGAGTTGAAGAGCCCAGTCACCTTCTCCAGTATTTTCGTTTCATTTTATTAGAAGTAGATAATAGGGACTATTATTACCTATTATCTAATTCTGATTTTATCTTTAACTGCCCAGGTCTTTGAAGTGGTCATTGTTACTTGGTATGGTGTTGGGTCTTTTAAACAGTAGCATTATAGATTATGCATTGTGAATTATGCATTATGGATTATGGATAATCATTAGAGACTGGCATTCATTATGTATACTTATGCGTCCTTTACATTACGTGTGATGATATCTTGTACATGTGAAAATAATCGTCACTCCGCCTGAAGATGGTTTGTTGACTATTTCACACAGGCACGTCGGAGCAACCCTGCTGAACGAGAGATCAAGTAGAAGTCACGTTATCGTTCTCGTCAAGGTTGTGCGTGAGGAAAACAATCGCCGCCTTAGTGGGAAACTCTACCTGGTGGATTTGGCGGGCAGCGAGGATAATAGGCGCACGGGAAATGCTGGAATTAGGTGAGGGCATCGGCATCTTTATTTTGATAAGCTATGCTTGTGCTTCATTGTAACCAGTTTAGTGAGAATTCAGGTCTTGAACATCTAGATAAGGGACTGGTGCTTAGGCTGGGCTTTTGTCCAAGTAGGAAGGAGCTGGATACTTGACAACATGTGGGTTTCGATAGCTGTTAAATTGGCTTGTCGTGTAACGTTTTGAGCTCTATCTTTCTCTCTCTCTCTCTCTCTCTCTCTCTATCTATCTATCTCTCTCGCTCTCTCTGCAGGCTGAAGGAATCTGGAAGCATCAACACGTCGCTGTTTTACCTCGGACAAGTTGTCGACGCTCTCAACAACCGGAATCCGGCTGTTCCATACAGGAGCAGTAAGCTCACCCGACTCCTTCAGGTAAAATGAATGCTAACTGTCAAAACTAACTGCCTGCGGAGGAACTGGCACATTGTTTTTGCTGTCAGTCACCAACTAGCTACTGATGTTAAAATCTGTATCTAGTGTTGATGTTTTATATATCTAGTGGAGGATACGATCCTTCTTAGCTTGTATATGAATTCTATGTTTGTTCTGTTATAGGACTCGTTGGGAGGCAACAGCAATGCTTGTATCATCTCTTGCATCTGCCCAGAAGAGTGCAATTATTTCGATACACTGCGGGCCTTGAAATTTGCCTCCAAAATAGAACGAGTGAAAAACCCGGTCAAGATTAACGAAGGTCTGTAATTTTGTACTGAATAACCCTGAATTCTCATTTTATTCTTTTTTATTGGTTGTTTACCACTATTCCACAGCCACTGCTTTCCACTACATCGCCATTAGATTTCCCGACGTCTTGAACAACTTATTTCTCTATATACGTGAAAATATCTTTACTTAAATTTTTATTTTTAAGTTTAATTATTATTTAATTTGCATTTTTACTTATAGTTGTCATCGAGGATCCCGATACAACTGTTATTGAGGAGAAGATCACTTCGTCTGTGGAGACTGAAACTATGAAATCAAGTTCGATTCCTGTTCCTACACTGATCGAGAATGTGAACCGTCATGTGCCAGCAATTCCACATGGCTTGAGGTGTGACGATGGTTGCCATTACATTCTTACGTGTCTGGAATTTCCTGACTCCGTGTTATATAATGGCTATCATGCCTGTTATCAGGAGTGGCTAATCATAGATATAGTAAATAATAATAGAAATCTATAATTATCCACTCCTGCTGTTATGTGTTGTGATATCAATACTATGAAGAGATGATTAGATTACATGTTGCTATGGCACCATGTATCTTAGGTGTGTACCCCTTGTTATGATGGCATCGTGTAACTTGTAGTTGTATCTCACAACTATCTGTCGAGATATGACTACTATGAAGAGATTAGATAATTCAGCTACATGTTGCTACGGCACCATGTATCTTAGGTGTGTACCCCTTGTTATGATGGCATCGTGTAACTTGTAGTTGTATCTCACAACTATCTGTCGACATATCACTACTATGAAGAGATTAGATAATTTAGCTACATGTTGCTATGGCACCATGTATCTTAGGTATGCACCCCTTGTTATGATGGCATCTTGTGACTTGGCTGTATATTATCCATGATACGCTCACATGACTTCTTTGTATATTGGCATGGTGTGCTCAAGTAATTCGGCTGTAGTGCCATTGCATGTTCGCGTACCTCGCGTGCGTCATGCTGTTGCATGCCGCCGTTGCATGCTGTCGTCGACAATAACTCGATGTCTCCACTTATCGCTGCAGTCCGGCCCTGCGTGTTCTCGATGAGCAGCTCACAAAGAAGTTTGCTGAGCTGGAGAGCAAACTGATCAGCCACATGCACAGCGAGGCGTCCATGCTGCTAGAAGAGAGCATCATGGTCGATCGCACCTTCATGCAGGTGCGCTCTATGTAATGTCTCCGTAAGTCGGTGCGACGGTTTTAAGGCGAGTACTTTGTCATGCCGGATTTATTACTCTATCGGCCAAGCACTCCCGACAGTTAGGTGCGTCCCGTAACATTCGGGAAACTCAGCCGATTTTGTCTAGCCGGATTACAATCGTGACTATGTCGTGACAGATTCTGCTGTATCGGATCAAAATCGCAACAATTTCCTGTGTTGTCTGGATGGTGTCCTGTGGATCGGGACGCTGTCGTGATGAACGGGCATGATCTGGAGAAATCCATCCTTGTCATCGTCTTTTGTCAGCGTCGGTTCATTGTCGGGTCACTGTCTGATCTCTATCGGATCGCATTCGGGAGAATCGGGACGCTGTCGGGACAAATTTGGTCGTTTTTTACCATGCATGCGAAAGATGCAAATCGGATCAGAATCGGATTAAGAACTGGAGAATCGGGACGAATTCGGCTGGAAACGGCTTAATCGGGACGCTTCCTGAACAATATCTGATTGTTGTCGTGATTAAATAAATGTTTTTACAAATTTTTAATAAAGTTTGAATTTCCCGCCACGAATTACAGGATCTTGATCAGACTTTTGACAAATTTTAATCGGGAATGGTCCTATCAAGGACGGCAGTAAAAATCCTGAATGTGTGACTGAGCCTTGATCACCTTTCGTTTGACATTTTCATCGCAGCGGCAGCTGGAGTCGAGTAGGCTTCACCTCACCCAGCTTCGCGACACAACACGTCGCTCGCTGATGCTGCCGTGTCACACCAGTGGCGCCCTCCCTCCGCCAAACTTCGAGGACAGAGACGCGCTGCTTGACTCCACACTGGACGAGCAATCCGATAGAGCAGGCACCAGCGAGGGGAGTAGGGATGCTTCTGGTCAAAGCAGCCCTGTGCTGAACGGTAATATTATTAGAGTAGAACGCACGTACTCGTTCAATCAATCCTTCCCGAAAATTTTATCCACATCTCGAGAGAGTGCAAGCAGGATGACCTGAACATTAGGAAGTAGAAACAGGTACATCCGGCTTTGCCTTTTCACGCGGCCGATCTGCACAAGCCCCGTAAACAGCCCGTCTCCAGTGTCCACGGGGCTTTTTCTTCGGCCCCGTCAAATTTTGAGATTTCAAGAATCGAGAACGAAAGTCGAATTGAGAAAGAACATCGGTTGTTATAAATTTATATAGCAAATAGTAGTATATGAGGGGCAGTAAGGTGGGAGGCGGGAGTAAGCATAGTATTAATACATATGAATGTAACAGAGGTTTTATTACATAATTCATCAGTTTAAAAAAAAATCAGCCTCGTCAAGTAAATGACGGGGCCGTTTGTTAGGCCCCATGGTTTTTCCAGACGGCGAAGCCTGGTACATGTCTAGTTTATTTCTTTCGCAGACATGACGACAACGAGCAGGAAGCGTTATTTTCCGTCCGTGTTGGGTGAGAGAAGTGATGCATCGCCTGAGCTTGCCACTCTTAGTCACGCACTGCATCTAACTGATGGTAGGTAACTTCTTTCGCTCATGAACATACACTCCAGCTTTGCCCTAATATGTTGAGGGTTGCGAGGAAAGGGTGAATAATGTAATGCAAGTGCTTAAGGTGTAAGGTGATTGCATCATCGTGAATAGTAAAAGTAAAAAAATATTTCCACTTTTTCACAACATGTAAGTAAATCTGTTTACGTTTTATGGTTAAATTGCTGCATTATACTTCCTATTTTACTATATTGTTTGATGTAAACATACACTCGTGACTCATACATAGCCCATAGCAAGCAATTAATGTCAGGATCATAATATCAAATCGTCGAGGTTTTTTGGATTTTTAACTAGTTGAGAAACAATCTTATCAGGTAAGAATTTGAGGATACATTTAGTTCCGTTAGTGCTTACTTTTAATGTAAAAAAAATGGCAACAAAAATTTACAAATATACACCATAGAAAATTCGTGACGTAGTCAATTTAAATGCTAGCTGTCAGGTGCTATTCTTGGCTGTAATTTTCTACAAATAATCGCGGGAAAATTCTGTCGTGAAGTGCACTTATGTCGTGCATTATGTATCTGCTTTTATTGTAATGTGTGAATCTGCCATGCAAGCAAATGCTGACGTCGCCATTGCTCCTTCTTTACATAGTGAGCATTTGCGACAATGTCGCAGAGACATCTGAGAGCAAGCCGTCATCCTCCACCATGGAACGCCAGGCTCTAGAACCAACTACTGGGAAGCGTGGATCTTCAACCATGGGTCTCACGACTTTAGAGCCAGCTGTTCAGAGACGTAGGTCTTCCACCATGGAGCTCAGTAGTCTAGAGCCAGCTGTCGGGAGACGTAGGTCTTCAACCATCGATCTCAGGACTTCAGAGCCACCAGCTGTTCGAAGACGTAGGTCTTCCACCATAGAGCTCAGGAATCTAGAGCCACCAGCTGCTGGAAGGCGTAGATCTTCTGCCCTGCCCGTCAACAATCAGGATGAGTGTCATGAGAATAGGCGTACACTACGACCACGCCGTCCATCCCTGCAAAGCTCGGCTCTTAACATTATCGCCGAGAAGCCGAGCGTTCAACTCCAGGAGCCACTGAAGCCGAAAAATGGTAATTGCGGTAAATGTAAGCGTTGCTGGATGCACGCAGTTGAACATACGAGTGCAGCTTACAAAGGAGAGCATCAGCGTGGGCTACTCATCGTGTAACCTTGCTAGGATGGATTAGATTTGTTTTAATAATTGTACCCCCCTACTTTCGAGTGAGGGCGCAGTTTGAAAAGCAGTCGTAGCAGATTAAATGCTATCCCGAAAGTTTGCCATGCCATGTTATTCACAGATCATTTATGTCAATACTAGCAAAAGGAACTAGTGCTTAGTGTCTGTGGCCAAGAGACAGTGTCAACTAAATAGTTGGTCATCGCTAGCAGAAGCAGAGATCTTGCCAGTTGAGGTGGATCTCGTCGTGGCAGCTAAGGCCCGTTCCGTCTTGATTGTTCTAAGAGATTTTTCCACGTTCTTCTTCACGCAGCGACAAAGCGCGTAGCAGTTGCCGAGCAGTTGCGTGCCAGTAGCGACGACTACCAGCGACGTCGCCGCGCCGCCATCTTGAAACTTCTGAATTCCGGCTCGGTGCGCAGACTGTGCACGCTGCAGACGCTTGGCCAGAAGAGGGCGCAAATGGTGTTCGATTACCGCGAGTACAAGGGACCGTTTCGACGCGTCGAGGACCTGGCTCGCGTGCCTGGCTTCGCCAAGTCGTTCTACCGGCGATTCGCCAAGGTAGTTGAGCGTGGAAAGTTTGCAAAAAATTTGCGCATTTCGTCGCGAGCCCGGGCTGCATTAATAGATCATTCTCGTAGTTCAGATTAATTTTTTTGCAGATTCTCTGTGCGAGCTTGAACAGGTTTTTGTTAACCATGCTTATTTTTTGTCTCAATCTGTCCATTTTACTGCATTGCGTTGTCATTTTCGCACGTGAGCGCAGCGCTGATGTATCTCGCTTTTTTTCCACAGAGCAACTTGTTATTGGCTGAGGATCCATCATCAGACTCGGAGCAGGAGAACCTATACGACATCGCTGAAGAGTCGGATGACACGTTCAGACGACCAGAGGTTAAAGCGTCAAAGAAACAACGCATCACATGTGCATTTTGAAATTGCGTTATCGATTTATTCCAAGGGTAAATCTCATTATGCCAGCTGCTGGGGTTATTCGGCAATTAATGGGGCGCTTGTACTAGTGAGCTTACTGAGGAATTCGCGAGTAGTGATAATAGTATGTGGTAAGCTAGAGGTCTATCAGGGTTAATCTACTAGTACTACTACTAGATCTATTAGTCTACCAACCTTATGAACTCATTGAATGAGTTAAGCTAGAGGTTTTATTGTAGATATCATATATTGTTCTTCATTGATATCAGGATAACTTAGTCTACTGTTGTAGTCATCTTAAAAGAATTGGTTAGGGCATATGTATAGCCTGCTCTATGTATTGTTAATGTAGTCGAGTCAGAACAGCTTAAACATATATGTTAAATACATAATTCGAGTGTTGGACGCCATATTTTTTTCCGCGTGAATTGAAACTCATGTAAATAGATCTCTACGAAATTGAAATCATGAAGCCATACATATATGTTTGAGAGAGGTGCACTTATTATCGTTTGTAACCAAGAGGTCCTATTAATTGTCACACTAAGATGGCTCTTTATATCGTATCGATGTGAGGTGTAGGGATTAGAATGCTTTATTAAAACGCCATGTGATCATGTGCACACATCAAATTAACAGAAATACTGTAACAATACTCATGTGCTAAGCTAAGAGCTCATATACCAACCAGCTATATAACAGGTTGCTGTTATCTTTTTGGGTGAAAACTCGGCTAAGATATGGGCTTGAACTTGGGATGAAAGACCATGATACATTTTGCATAACTTCTCTGTGCAAAATATTTCACGGTAGTTCTTACAATATATGAGTACAGTGTACCTTGCATTGCAGGAATTTGGTAGTAGTATTCTCACTATATTTTTCTTCGATTCTTTGATATGTGTACCTGGAAATGTATTGTATATATTTTAATTTGTAATAGACATGAGCCATTTCTACACGTGTGTGTTTGTTTATTTGTATATTCTTTCTCTGTTTCCAAAATATTGTTCTGTTAGTCCGACCAATGTTAGTCAGCTGAGTCAGGTGCGATAGAGCAAATGCACTCAACAGATACAAATGCATACAACAGATACTGCTCCTGCTCTCATGCATAACTCACATTAATTATCAATGTCCTGGTGGCAATGAGAGTTTGTCGTGGGTTTAGGTAAATCTACACACGTAGGATATTGAATTGGCATGACGATCGCTATCAAATCTTTTCAGTGTGTTAACCAAGTGCTGATCCTGAGCCAGAGGACATTTTCATAAAATCATTAACATGTGTTCTATACAGAATGAATGAAACATAACATGTTAATGATAAAACGCAGATTATTCATCATGATCATAGACGATTTAGAAGTCAGTGCAAATGGATGTAAGGATATCTACCCGGGTATGTGAACACAGGGCCGGATTTTAAACTGGGCAAGCTAGGGTCTCCACATATTCCATGAAAACAAAATTGTAAGAAAAAATGTAGGCTGACCTGAACGACACGCTCGTATCAATCAAAACCTTATTGCGCGCGTTTTACGTCATACATACGCAAGCCATATTGTATTTGTTTGTGAGTGGTGGAAACAGCTAACTGGGAGTTTTCCTGCCATTGCTCAGCACACGTCGGCAGACAAACATCTAAAATCTCAGGTCATTCATCTCAACGTCGATTTTCTTGCTTGCTTATTCAGATTCTTTCTAGTTGAAAAAATAATTTACTTTATGGATGACTGTAGTTTTTAGTATTCTAAGGTAGGGTGGTCATCTACTACTAAAGGTTGCCAAGGGCCCTCCACATGTCTAAATCCGGCCCTGCCTAGGGCGCTCTCCTAATTATACACACAGGTCTACTGATAACAATTTATTACAGAGACCTATGCTGAGATACGCTCTGACCATATTAAATGCAATTTCAGCACAAAATATAACTCCTCTGGTGAGATATTGCGTATGCTGTAAAGCAGTAACGTAGCCAGGTTGTGTACTGACTGGTTTATGGAGCGGAGACCTTACATGGAAGGTCTTCCTCCTATTTCTTAAATTATGTCAACTAATGGAATGGTATCATATAAATCGATGCTAGGGTAACTCCTCTTCATTTTAAATGCATAATCTTTGTAAAATACGATTTCTCTCGGGAGATATTGCGCATGCGCGCGCACCGTGGTAGGCGTGCAGTGCCGTCTGAGGCAAACTTCATAATATAGCTTGCTGAGGGGGAGAGGGGATGGGAGACTGAGGAAAGGCGGAGCATGCGCGCGCACCGTGTTAGGCGTGCAGTGCCGTCTGAGGCAGACTTCATAATATAGCTTGCTGAGGGGGAGAGGAGATGGGAGACTGAGGAAAGGCGGCATGGAAGATAGCTGGGGGCGGTAGAAGAAGAAGGAGGCTGAGCGAGGGACAGGGGAGGCAAGGAGAAGGACGCGAGGGCATAAAGTAGGTGTTTTGTATCCTACATGCTAGGGCGCTCTCCTAATTATAAACACAGGTCTACTGATAAAAGTTTATTCGGGAAATCTATGCTGAAATACCCCCTAACCATTTTAAATGCATATTCATCACAAAATATAATCCTCTGGTGAGATATTGCGCATGTGCCAACACAGTAACGTAGCCAGATTGTGTAATGACTGGTATATGCAGCCGGCACCTTACATGTAAGGTCTGCTTCCTATTTCATAAGTGAGGTCTACTGATGGAATATTATTATAGAAATCTATGCTGGGATAACCCCTCTTCATTTTAAATTCATAATTTTGACAAAATGTTATTCTGCTCGGGAGATATTGCGCATGCGCGACCACCGTTTCAGACGTGCAGTACGGCCTAAATAAAAGTACGTAATATAGCTTGCTGCGGGAGAGAGGGGTGGGAGACTGGGGGAATATGACAGGGATGACAGCCGAGAGGCAGTGGAAGAAGGAGGCTGAGCGTGCGACAAGGGAGACAAGGGGAAGGGCGGGCGGGGATGAAGTAGTAGTTTTGCGTTCTACTGGTTAGGGGCAGTGAACATGTTCAATTAGAGAGGGAAAACCTGGCCGTCTCCTTGCACTAGTGTGTAGGTGATTTACCGATACAATGTGGGTCCTGCAAAAACAATTTTGAGTCGATTTTATTCAGAAAGGACGTGTATCGAAATAGTATGTTAGCGGGTCGCATTAGAGCGTTGAGATTTCAAGTGAGCGTGAAATTATCCGAGAGATGGCGCTGTAATCACACAGTTTGTGTTTACCAAAAACCTCAGCCAAAAACATGAAGTTGTACAAGTTACTCGTTCATCAACGAAACTTCAGTGGTGCGTTCCTAATTAATCGACGTGGCAGCGATAAAATGCAATGAAGATAATGATTTGTACTGTGTGTTAAACGTTGCCTTTTAGGTTATATTGAAAAGAAGCCAATAACATCAGGGCCGTGGGCTGAGCCATTTGGTTAGGGTTAGGGTTAGGATTAGGGTTAGGGAGTAGGGCGTAGGCGACTCCCTAAGACTCGTTTAGTGGAGTAAGCGAGGTACGGTCCGGCATATTAGATAGTACCAGGGTACGTTCCGGCGTACCCGCGGGGACATAGACCCTCTCAGCGTTAGTTAGATTTCTATGGGCTGAGCAAATCCGGGGGGGGGGCAGTGCGCGGATCCAGGATTTCAAGGAGGGAGTTGAGAACAGGTGGGGGTCTGGCGGGTCCTCCCACAGAAAATTTTGAAAATGTAGAATCGCAGGAGATGGTATTGAGCCACTTACAGCCTTCGTTCTGACTACGACAATTCTCTTTTGAAAAAATTTATTAATTTTTTTATTTTGCTCCAAAATCTAAGGGGGGCAGCTGCCCCCTTTGCCTGGTTGACCCCCCCCCCCCCCCCCCGCAGGCTACGGCCCTGAACATGGTCACACGATCATTCTAACATAATCATAATACAGCATGATACTTATAGTTATACCGGTATAGTTAATTATACTAAGCAACAGTAAACTTCTCACCATATGTCACTTGATCATTGATGTGAGTAATATAGTAAATAAACAATAGCGGTTAGATAAAAAGCGGTTGCAGCCTAAATGATTACCTTACATTACAAGCCCGTCTGACATGTGCGACCATGTGCACGATGATTCGGATGAACAGCTGTGGTGCGCTGGTTACTGGTTTAAGTTGTAATTTTGAAAGTACGACGGATAGGTTATAATAAGTTATATCCACTTTCGCCAGGATTCTGAAGATGCTCTAGTTGTTGTTTTATGCGCTGCGGGTTCTAGGCTATACTGTACCCAGAAAAGCTGCAGTTGAAGTGATCTTTACACGCACGGAAATGGAGTAAAGGTCCCGTACACATGCACAGAAAGACGCACATACGCACGCACGCACACACACACACACACACACACACACACACACACACACACACACACACACACACACACACACACACATGCGTGCGCTTGGTATGCAAATTGTTACCTATTTTGTAACCTATCCAGTAATGCTGTTGAAATATTCTGTACTATAGAACAAAATCTAAGTCAATTTCTTGTACTTATTCATTTTCAGATAATGATCTTCTTATCAATCCAAAAGAGTTTCCCCATGTAAAGCTGGGTGATGTTGTTGAAATTTATCATCCTGAGGATGAGTATAGGTAATATGTTTAAACTGAACTGTGTATCATATCTGTTTACATAAATATGGTTCATATTGTACTTGTTATTATTTTTATATCTAGAGTTCGCGAGATAGAAATTAAAGTTGTTATGTAAATTCTTAAAAGTGGTAAAATAAATGTACGCATACAGAAAGGTGAGACGAAAATATTTCAATACCAAGTATATATAATACCAAGACCACCAAAATAGTGGTCACACCACCACCACCACCACCACCATCTTATACATGGTCAGGTTTGTAATTCCTCTTTTTGTTCACATACATTATTAGAGATACGTTAATTGTATCTGAGATATGCATAAAATGTTTTTAAGCAATTAAGGTCATTTATGGTAGAGTACGTAACATTTTTCGACTTGTTTTAGATATATGTACAGTATTGATATAGGGTGTTTTTTTGTTTCAGTCGCCTTCTTCTTCAGGTGACATGTCTTAGTGAGGACTTGCAGCAGAAAGGTGTCGTTACTGTTAAATATCCAGACTTCATATTTACATGTTTATTTCAATTAATTATACGCTTTCTAATGACATTCTCCTTCAGTGTACACCTAATTTAGACACTCACACCTTGAAGTTGTACTGTACTGGTATCTAATTCATAGCATCTGGATTCAGTGACAACTAGCAGTCAGGAATCGATCGTCTTGTTTGAATGTTTAATTTATATGAAATCTACATTAAGATGCCAGTGTCATTTATCAGATTAATTGGTGCGCTCGTAACAGGACTGGATTTGTTGCACGTAAAATGCACGTGCGCATTATAAATATGGTTATTGGTGTTTTTCAGACTGCATTAGTACGGACCAGTCTATTGCCAGCGTTTTCCAACTGCGAACTTATAAGGATGTGTATGTGAATGTTGTCAACCCAAATGATGTAGCCTTGAATCTAGTTGAGCTGGTATTTAAAGATCAATACCTCACTAGGTCTGAAATGTGGGCAGTAAAAAAGTACTTGGTATGTAATTTATTTGAGCATGTTTATAATATAATAACTATCAGTTTCAGTTTCAATTCAAGTATGAAAATTCAGCGTAAACATTCCTTATTTAGTACGTTTCCTTTTAAAATCGATGGGCAACGTATAATAATATTAATAAAAGTAAAGTTTAAAAAACCTTCACTACATAATTCTTTTACATAGTTGATTTCCAGTGCAACCGGTTTATTATTTTGCTTTTTAATCGTGCATGGATTTTTCTTTCTCAGACTGGTTCCTGTGCATATCTGACACGGAAAGTCAACTATGGCTCAATGCGTGTGCAAGTGGACGAGATGTGGGCTCGGGGTGACCAGGTTGCTTGTGGCGTCATCACAGAAGACACAAAGGTGGCTCAATGCGTCATATAATGCTACGTTAGTTTATTCATTCTCACGTGATCACACGCCTGCATGTCTGAATGAGGCACAGTCCATTTCTAACATCGATAATGATAATGCTCACAAATTGTGATCTACAATGCTAAAGAGAATGCCAAATGTGTGTGTGGCTTGGCTGGATTCATCATCAGCCCTTCCTTGGAGTTTTATCATAACTAGGTTGATGTTTGAGATCAAGGATAGTTTGGGACCCCCACAATGTTTTTGCTTATGTGCTAAGCTAATCTGGGGTGCTAAACTAGGCTTGGGCCAATGTTCGTGGGGCTTCTTAATGCCTACATAACATATTACCTCAATGTGATAGTCCTGTGTTCGTTGTTAGAGCTTCACTAGAGCTTAAAGTGATTACATCGCCATAAATGGTAAAAATAAAATGAAAAAATTTCTACTTTTTCACAAAATATAATGTTTTCTTTGCAGCTGGTCTTTCGGTCGGTGACGGCAATGATTTACCTGTTCATCCAGATTAGCTCTGAGATGTGGGAGTTTGACACAAATGGCGATCTCTATTTTGAAAAGGCTGTGAATGGATTTCTCTCTGAACTTGTGGAGAAGTGGAAGGTGAAACCAATTTAAGAAACGTGCATATGATAGTTCAGTTTAATGCCGCTACTTTATTCTGCGCAATGTTTGTATGGTTTACATCATTATCGTATATATAATCAATGAACAGGTTTATATATCATATTAAGTGAACTGTTTATGGATGCTAGTACATAGAAATATAGATATTTGGATAGAACTCAACTAATAATTATACTGGCTATATCGTACTAACTATATACGTATACTCATAAATATATTATATATTATAACAATAGTATAAAAAGGTTGATGTAAACCATACAAACATTGGCGACAATAACAGTGAGCATGGCATTAAAACTTGAAACTAGCATATGCACTGTTTCTGAAATTAGCGTTGCACCTTTCCACTTCTCCAGACAGAGTCAGTAGTGACAAATCGCACTATCAGCCTTCAAGTAGACGATCGCACCAGGTTCGTGTCGAAACTTGCCAATGTCAGAGACTCAATCTGGCATGAAACCATGCGATAAAATACGGAACCAGTGCCGTCAGCGACCGCGACAACGGTACAGTGCAAACGAACATAACTAGCGAGATTTACTCTTAGGTGAAAACTCTAACAACGAACACAGACGTATCACGTTGAGGTCCGGGATAGGTAACCAAATTTGTAACATTTTCGTTGCCAGGTTTTATTCTTAAAAGTAAAGAACTAACGGGGACTAAACGTATCCTCACAATCTTACCTCGAATAAGACGGTCCGAATCTTCTCAGTAGTCAAAATACCAAAACATCATAAACTGGGACGCATTTGATTGATTGGTTCCTCGACAGTGAATTGCTTGCTATGAGGCTACAATGTACCATACGTGAGGTAGATGTGATGTATTTGCAATCGGACACAAATATAGCTAAAATGGACAGGACTAATGACAGCAATTCTAAGCATAAAAGTGCAACGAATTACAGATTGATATTTATGCTATGGACAGAATAGAAACACATGATAGAAATTTTTTCATCTTTATTTTTACCATTTTCGGCGTAGGTATCATCTTTAAGCTCTAGTGAAGGCACTCTACATAGCCTGAACACAGGACTATCACATTGACGGTATAATGTTAGTAGCG